AGCCCGATCAGAAAGCAGCCTATTGTTACTCCCGGAGAATCCAGTCACGCATGTTAGACCAACTCCCATCGTACCTACGCGAGAGAAAGTACAGCCTTACGAGTCCAACTTCGAGATCGACTGCCTTCAGTCAAGCTTTCAGAACCGACGACACTTTCTTCGTGTACTTGTCCAAACATCCCGACCTTGAAAAGAGCTTCGCCCTCTGCATGCAGGGAGTTAGCGAATCCATGGAGAGTTGGGTCAATATCTATCCCACCGAACAACTGATACAGGACAAAGAAGACAGACAGCTGGAAGTTGTCCTCGTCGATGTTGGTGGGGGGATCGGTCACGATATCAACGCGTTTCAACGCAAACACAGGATACAATCAGGCAAATTGATCTTGCAAGACTCGCCAAAGGTGTTGAAACAAGCCAAAGTCGAGCCCAACATCGATGTTATGCCTCATGATTTTTTCAAACCCCAAACTGTCAAAGGTACGATTTCTCCATGATCTGAAACTGATCCAAAAGCTGAAACGGTCTTTGAATCCTTTGCTAACACTCAATAGCTCATACCTACTACCTCCACTCGGTCCTTCATGACTGGCCGGATGATGAAGCATGTGCCATTCTGAAGAATCTGAAATCTGTCATGAGCTGTGATTCGATCATTCTGTTACACGAGCTCGTCAAAGATTGTCCGATAACTTCTCGAGCGGCGACTTGGATGGACATAACGATGCTGGCAGCATTCAACTCGCGCGAGCGTAATTTGGACGAGTGGCAGACCTTGGCCGAGAGGGCAGGCTTGAAGATGACTGGACAATCTTGTCACCCTGACACACCATACTCGATAATCAAGCTTGAACTGGCTACAAACAATATATGCGGGCCGGAAGAGATGTATAGCGGTCAGTAGACAAGTTTGAGTCTGGCTAGATCTAGATGGCGATGTTGAGCTAAATTGATTGCTGGTTCTCGCTTGTCTTCTTACGAGCAATAGATGCTATTTTGTTGTCGGCTGATCCAGATTGGAGTCTAGGAAGTAGAGGAAAAAATTCCCCTTCCAGTCCCGAAGAGTAATACTTCATGGCTTACCACCACGCTTGTGAGTCTCTGCACATGATCAAGATAGTCGCTACACATATGACTTGCCCTCGATCTCGAAAATCTATCATGCCATTGAAGAATGGAAGCCGACGTAAATCTCACTTACGTACCTTCCTGGAATATAAATGTACAAGTAGCGACGATTGGGTTCTAATGTATACATGAAGTATGATGCCTACATCTGTAAAAGTGGTTGGACATCTCCAATCGAGACATATGCGGACTTGTGGTCACTAAAGACAGTGAGTGCCGGCTGGAGCACTATTTATGTCGTGAAACAGTTATGGAGAAGAGACTCCGACACAAGCTTATTGCAAAGTACACAATGCAGAGGACACGCAGCTCGTCTCCATGCCTCATCTTCTGGGGACGACTTCGACAACTCGATAGAGCAGATAACAGGCATCGCTAACTGATTCGAGCAATCTCTTTCGCAGGCGACAGTATGAAGAGTATCGAAACATCAAGTCTGAGGATGAGGACATCGGGGGAATCGATCCGATGCTGTCATTGGGGCATTGTTGACTCTCCTGATTACGGGTTTGTTGGCGTCACTCGTGCCATGCGCTTCGATGCGCCATGGCGCTTGATAAATGATTGCTGCCTGCTTGAGATGCCGTCCTGTGTGCACAGTAGCTCCCAAGATGAGAACTTTATCATCAGTGCTATTACTTACTTTGCTTCCAGCATCAGGCCTTTGTCTCAGCTCGGGCTGTCAGCCTGCAATGGAGGTTCCAGCCACTATTGCATCTTCGGGCAGAGCACAAGGCACTGGCATAAGACGATTGCACGTCGTAACCACGACGGCAGTCGCATCGAATCAAGCACTCGCCTCAGTGTCTCCTGGTCAGGTTGTTCGATTGTATGATCCTGCAGTAAATTTCACCCAGTCTTTGGGGAATGACAGTAAAGGGGACAATAGTGGTTATCGTGCGGCAGCATACTATGTAAATTGGGTGTGTAGTTTCATGACTACCCTTGTTGACATTACTGACAGGTACCAGGCAACGTATGCTCGGAACCATCAGCCATACGATCTTCCTGTTGAAAATCTTACGCACGTCTTCTATGCATTCGCGAACATCAGCATGGAAGATGGCAAAGTTTCCCTTTCTGATCCCTATGCTGACACTGACAAGATCTTTCCTTTCGACACATGGTCGGAGTCGGACCAGACTCTCAAAGGGTGTCTGAAGCAACTTTTTCTCTTGAAGAAGAAGAATCGGAGGTTGAAAACCCTTCTCAGCATCGGAGGCTCAATCTATTCTCAGAACATCGGCGATGCGATATCCACAGAGCAGGGCCGACAGAACTTTGCGCAGACCGCAGTGACTTTACTCGCTGACCTTGGTTTCGATGGCTTAGACATTGATTGGGAACATATAGAGACCGACACAGACGCGCAGAGCTATGTAGCACTACTCTCTACAGTACGTAGAGAACTGAACAAACATGCCCTCAGTCTACCACAACACCCACGACTCCTGTTGACCGTGGCCTCTTCCTGTGGCCCTTCTTCTTATAGTTTGATGAAACTAACCGAGATGGACCATTATGTGGATTTCTGGAATCTGATGGCATATGATCTCGCGGGACCATGGTCGGCACTGACAGGGCATCAGGCGAATGTCTATCCATCAACGAACAATACAGCAAGTACACCTTTCAACATCAACGCGGCAGTGGATCACTATACACAGTCTGCTGGTATCCTGTCGAATAAGATAGTTCTGGGGATGCCGCTATACGGCCGAATCTTCGCTGAGACTGTAGGGCCTGGGTTTCCATATGCAGGGTCTGGCAACTCTGGGGACTGGGAAACTGGAACTTGGGACTATAAGGTACCAGACATCGACCTAAGGCGCCTAGCTTGCCTTTCTTATACATTGCTGACCATCTTGTTTTGTCTTAGTCCCTCCCAAGACCTAGAGCAATAGAAACCTGTGACCTGCAGATGATTGCATGCTGGAGCTATGATTCTCTGAACAAGCTCATGGTCACATACGATACTCCATACAGCGCCTCAGCTAAAGCTGAATACATCAAGCAGCGGAAGCTGGGGGGCGCCATGTGGTGGGAAAGTAGCGGCGATCGTACCGATGACAGGAGTATCATCAACTCTGTATGCCACTCGCAGCAATCTGTGGAGTCCAGGCTGATCATCATCACAGGTAGTCGACAAGCTCAGACTTTCTGGAGCGGATCAATTGGATAACACCTTTAACCTGCTGCAGTATCCCTCCAGCAAGTACGATAATGTCAGAAATGTGTTTCCGAGTGGATGAGATACCCTTTGATGACGGATGTGGGTCGCACGTGCGGGTATTGTAGCAGTATGGCTGTGCAAGGGAAGACTTAATCAGTGCATACTACGAGACTTGGAACATCTTTCTAACAAGTCTCGAGAGCGAGCAGATGGCTGATTGTTGTAAAAGAAAAAAAAAAGTCTTTATAGATTTCATTGGCTAGATAGAACTGTTGAGATAGATGGCGATGTAGATGTGACCAAGGAATGAGCAGCAGAATTGAGGAAACCAGAAATGATGAGCAGCGCCGCATGACGATGCTCACTGTCCAAACCTGATGATTTGACAATGTGACAGTGATCACGATACACAGCGGGCAGCGATCTGCTGGACGCGTGCCCCAATTCCTAGCATACAACGACAGAGTGTAGGCAACAAGCGGCGCCAGATGCTGAGACCGTCCATAGACCATGCATTCCGATAATCTCTATGTATATCAAAGATTATGGTCAACACGATACAAGGCCGGGACTGGAGTTGCCTCCTAGTGATATCGAGCCTCGTATATATACCGGGCTTCTAATTGTGTCGAAGCTTGTCGAAATGCTGATGAAATCAGTATCTAGATTGGACTCATAGACGCCTTCTAGCCCAGCGAGCACCTTACTAGCTTCGAAAGCGTGAGGGAGTATGTCTTCGAACCACCTGCGCTTTATGCCGAGAAGTCACGTTGTCTCAACATTGTCTTCATTCCTCGCTCGACAGTTTCTCCTTACTTTCGTCCCACGTCAAGTCTGTCAGCAAGGACATCGACACGGCGCAAGGGCCAAGCAAGGTCGAAGTGAATATTTGACCATGACTTGAATTATCCGGGGTCACGAAGTGCAGGCTATCATCACAATATGGATCGATTTGGGCTATGTCAATTCTGACAGACGACTGATTCCGGCTGGATTATGACCTGTTACTGTTTGATTATGTTCCGACCCATTGCGGTCAACAGATTGAGCAGAACTATCATCACAAACCGGACTTGATGTTCAATATGCTCGTCAAGCTGACAGGGTGACCCTGTCAGCCAGTATCGATCGTCCCTTCGGGCTTGAAGAATGATCGAGGAATGATCTGTACACCGAGAATTGAGTGAGCCGGGAACTACAGTAGACTGAATGTCCAGACATTGATTGCGCTCGGCTGTTCGACTGACCGAGAGCCTCAGGCATCAATATAATCGGCAGAATTGGGCTGCACATCACAAAGCTGACGGTGGGGTACTTAATCTGTTTTGGTTGTGTCTCAGCAGCAGTCAAAATGACCTGACAAGTCCTGCTAGTAGCACATGCACTTGTTCGTCATCCCCTTGCTACATGTCCTGTCGACAATGGGTATGACCAGTGTATTCTCGTTCACAAAACTGCCGCATAGAATCAGATAATTTGCTTCCACCTCACGTGACATGACCACATCTTGCGGAGACGTGGGGTAATTGCGGAGATGAGGATACGATGGTCCAAGAAATGACACCGATGATCAAATACACATAAAGTGCCAATGAGACTGTTGAAATACTAACCAAAAGGCTTGACATTCGAGATGACAATGGTGACACGTCGAGACTAGAAAAAGTTACCTGCTTGATCTGTGGATATGGGAGTGTTCGGTTCGTTGAAAGACATCGGCTAGCACAAGCCAAGGAGAAAGACGTATTTTTCTCCCGTGGGAATATGAGTCTGGGAAAATGACAATGTGCGCGAATTTGCAGCTGTAGTGGTATAATCAAATATAAGTCGATTCGTCCTTAGTCGGAACAATATCGCAGCAACAGCACGACAACACAATGATCATGCAAAGCGATTGGAAGGACCACCGCCTCCAATTTTGTATGGACGACATCCCTCAGGAAGAGATTGGACCCCCAAAGAAAGGCAAAAAACGACCTGGACCTTTTTCTAGCACGAGCTTGACGCAAGGAATATGTCAGACGCCCGGAAAGAATAGTCACATCGAAGACCTGGTCAAAAGCCTCAACTCGTTTCGCTCGTCGATGAGTCACTTGGGCCTCATGTTTGTGGGTTATGCGATGGATCACGCCTTCTGGTTTCCCACTATGTGTTTCGAAGGATGGCTGAGGCTGAATTCTGATATCCTTACAGGCTCTTGGGTACAGCCTAATGAGGTCAGAGATGCGCTACAAGATTTCTTGACGCATGAAGGTCAGAACCATGTGACCATGAATATCTTCACGCGAAGCCATGAAAACGACGTTCAGGATGGAGCAAGTGTCCTTCAGCTGTTTGAGATAGCGGAGTGTGAGCGTCAACGCTTCGGGAAAGCGTACAAGGCACTGCAAGAACTGAACGATCGCACGCGCACTGGATCACCAGACCCTAAGGTGTCCCCACAAGAATTCTGCCACCAGCCGCTCCAGTGTACTCCATTGTATCGCCCTCGCTCAGAGCCAATACATTCCTTAGGCAATCTCCAATGCATTAGGACTTTCCTGCATCAGCTGATTGAAGCAGGGAAGAACGATATCGAAATGATGTCAGACTCGAAAAGGCGGTTCGATGCCTGCTTCTTCAAAGTGAGCGAATTGGCCCATCAAATAACACGACTCGAAAGTTTTCGGAGCATGATAAACGCAGAGGATCGCGGTGATAAGACGTATGACACGGTGATCAGCATCCAAATCGGGAAGCTAGAGCAAAGCCGAGAGAATGAGAAGTGTGTCGGACAGACCATAATCTCATCTCTCTTGAGTCACACCGAGACAACTCTTGAAGAGTTTAGGGAGCTTCTTATGGTTGATGAGCATTACGGTGGAGAGCTTGAATTTTTTTTGGGTCTATGAGCAAAATCGCTAGTCGCATACAACCTGTTGAACATGGCTGTGAACTTGTGGCTGCCTAAAACAGCGAGGTGATATATGGTCGCCTTCGAGCGTATGACGCGCCGTCCCGATCTTCTAACAAGCACAATCTGGAGATCTGCGATGCGTAGAATGGTACAACGTGATATTCGTTGAACTTATACAGGGTACTGCGGGTGTCTCGTTGTAGAAATGATATGTTGTTACAATGCTGGTCAGGCAAGTTGTTTCCCCCCTTGTAATATACGTTGCAGCTCCAAGATTTCCTCCTCCATCGATTTTAGTGTTGAGGCAATCGCCATGAGACATGTTTTCGCTTCAGGGCTCTGATACCACACCTGCTCGAGCATGCTCTTCACCTTCACACTCTCTTTCTTAACAACCTCAAGCGATTGCGATACAGCCTTGTGCGAGACTGACGAGAACGTTTGGAGACCTTTATGATCTTTCAGAAGCTTCGCATCCAAGACGATTATAGCTAGATAGTTGTGAGCAGCTTTCTGTGGATCGGCCGACATGTACAGACTTACATTCACCCGTCGTCGCCATCAT